ACCGATTTCAAAATATTTTAGTGCTGGCAATAACGAGATTAAAACCGATACATAAATTGTGAACTGCGTGTAGAATTAAAAAGTGGTTCGATTAGAACCGACAGACAACAAATAAAACCACAGATAAAACAGTACTATGTCTATGCCACGCTTGTTTACAGATAACGGATTACAGGAAGTGAAGTCAAATTAGTGACTTCCCATCACGTGATCTTCGCCCATGCTCGATAGAAGGTCGTTCGTTTTCTCGCAGTTTCCTCAGCTCAGAAACCACTGCCAGCAGGGTAATAATTCTATTGTTTTATCATGGATTAATTCATGGCGTACCGGAAGGAAAAAATTAGGGGGGCGGAAAGAAAATTGCCCAACTTTTCGGGATTCTGCCCGACTAGTACCAAAAAATTTTTTCCGGAAAAATTATTTTGGCGACCTCCCCACCCCCCCGTCGCCAAAAATTTTTCGGTCAGTGTACCATTTTAGGGGTCAAAAAAATTTTCCGGACATACAATTTTTTCCGAACATAACACAAATTTTCGAAAAATCGCAAAATTTGCCAAAAAATTGACTTGATTTTAGACAAAATTGACAGAATTTGTCCAATTTTTTTTATTGCAAACCAAAATTGCCCGACTGTTGATCAAATATTGCCCGACTGCCCAACTGGGGGCAACCGCCCCCCCCCCCGCCCGGTACGCCCATGTGGATTATATTTATAGTGAATATTACACACATTTCCATTTCAGCAACATATGCCACATACTTTTACTTGTGTTATTGTTCATCAAAATAATCTATCAAATATATAGGTTTGCATCTAAATATACGAGTTTCCCCTCGGTAAACGTATCGAATTCAGTAAGAATTTTCAGCCGGTTCATGGTTAATGTTTTAGTGCTATTCCCGACATTTATTTTTAGGCTATAAGTCCACAAAAGTCCGCATTTATTTTTTATCTCTATCAGTCTGGTAAAAAAGTCATTCTAACATTGTGTTTTATGATGCTTGTGATGTTACTCTGAGCGTATATCCACACCGGGAAAGCTTGAAAATATGCCTGTCCACGGTGGGAATCGAACCTACGACCTTTGCAATACTAGCCCAATGCTCTGCCAACTGAGCTACGCGGTCAGGTCGGTTCGAGTTTGTGATATTTCGGAACAGAATCTAGTTCCTTCGATATCAATGTAATCTAGTAATCATGATTTTTTCTGTGTTGGTGTAATGTACTCAGGTGAATATGATGCTTGTGATGTTACTCTGAGTGTATATCCACACTGGGCAAGCTTGAAAAATATGCCTGTTCACGGTGGGAATCGAACCTTCGACCTTTGGAATACTAGCCCAATGCTCTACCAACTGAACTACGCTGTCAGATCCAGTTCCTTCGATACCAATGTAATCTACTACAGTATCTCACATACTCGAACCGACCTGACCGCGTAGCTCAGTTGGCAGAGCATTGGGCTAGTATTCCTAAGGTCGTAGGTTCTATTCCCACCGTGGCCAGGCATATTTTTTCAAGCTTGCCGGTGTGGATATACACTCAGAGTAACATCACAAGCATCAAATTGACTCATTCCTATGAACCAGTCTCGTTGGACGTAGTTGAACGTAGACACCACATAGTCTTGTCTACAACTTTGGGAAGGTACCGATATCGCTTTCTAAAATGCTCAATTATGGCTCAGTCTCTATAAAATGATAAGGACGTTAGTATCCACACCGGACAAGCTTGAAAATTATGCTTGGCCACGCGGTGGGAATCGAACCTATAACCTTTGGAATACTAGCCCAATGCTCTGCCAACCGCGTAGCTACGCGGTCAGGTCGGTTTGAGTATGTGGTGTGACTCTAGTTCCTTCGACATCAATGCAATCTAGTAATATGAATCGAAGGAACTAGACTCAGTTCCGAAATACCACATTCTCGAACCGACCTGACCGCGTAGCTCCGTTGGCAGAGCATTGGGCTAGTATTCCAAAGGTCGTAGGTTCGATTCCCACCGTGGCCAGGTATATCTTTCAAGCTCTGCCGGTGTGGATATACACTCAGAGTAACATCACAAACAGTCATATTCACCTGAGTACATAACACCAACACAGAAAAAATCAAGGACGTTAATGTTAAATCTTTGGGCTATGTCTCTGGGTTGAGAAAAATTCCGTACATGCGATCAAAATGTTTCATTCAACGATGTAAAACGGTAGTCTTGTGTAATGGGTCAGCATTTAAATTTCCAACACAATTCTGAGACGTAATTTAAGAGGTAACTTATCATTGCATTTGAACTATTATATCATTCAGTTGGACCGAGTTGGTGTTATTCTGTGCGACAAGCGACTATTATTGGAAGGAGGGCTGCCATATAGCCTACGTTGAAATCACCATAAATAAACAGCTCACGCACACATTTCTTCTCAACTTCGTCGTAAGTTTACAGAGCAGATTTTATAGTTTGGCACTGATCTTTGTCTTTGATGTTAACATTTACAGTATTCTTCTACAGGTAGTTTAAAGTTATTTAAGATAATTAATCCTGTCGTAAGTCGTCTACCAGCAACCCATCGACAATAATGCATTTTAGCGTTGTCGTTCCGTTACGTTAATAGCTTCGCGTTACTTTTGTTTTAAATACGTTGCTCGCGTTAAAAGAGTTATATTTTTCAGGCCCGTGACAAAGCCAAAAGACTTAGATTAACGTCCTCGTGGTTTTATAGAGATACGCTCAAAATGAGAAATTTTAGCAAGCGTTATCTGTACCTTCTTAAAGTTGTAGACAAGATACGTTGTTTATTCAAGATAATTGCGATAGATGAACCAGGCGGAAATCGTAATCTTAAGATAAATATTAATGCCCAGCAGAAAATACGTAAAAGAGCCATAACAAAAATATAGTTTAAAATATTTATTAGAAAGCTAACGTTTCGTCTTTAACTTAAGACATCTTCAGAGCAATGACATACAAAGCGGAAAACACAGAAATATGAATAAATTACAACTATTTACAAGATATTATATTACAAAAGTAGAAAGAGGAGTGGATCAGAGTAGAAGTAGAGGGACCGAACTGTGTCATGGTATCCCTGTGTATATGCCTTATATGGTAGTGCATGCCTTATATGGTGGTCGTCCGCCATCTTGAAATTCATGAGTTATCTTATAGTTATATGTATTATTTTATAGTTAGTTAGTCAGTAATAAAACGTGATTCAAACTACAACATGGTGTCAGGTGTGGCTGTCAAACTACAACATGGTGTCAGGTGTGGCTGATTTTTTTTTTTAAAACAGTTTAAATAATTCTGGAGACACTAATACACCTGGTCGGTGAATGTAGTCGAGAATTCTACTATAAAACAGACGGAAAATGGCAGTCACAGGCTTGGCAACTCCTCGTTTAGATTGGCATGCCGCCGATCTTCCACAGGCACTCAAAAAGTTCAAAGCAGTGTGCGAGCTCTACTTCTCTGGTCCGTTGAAATCCAAATCGGAACAAGAAAAGATTAGCTATCTTCTCATCTGGACAGGAGACGAAGGAATTGAACTAGCATCAACTTGGGATTTATCCGACGAGGAGAGGAAAAAATTGAATACATATTGGACAAAATTCGAGGAATATGTCGCCCCAAAGAGCAACTTCAGGCTAGCAAGGTATAAACTACGTACTCTTAAACAAGCTGAAGGTGAGACAATAGATTCATTCTTAAAGAAAGTTAGAGTTAATGTGCAAGCCAAATTACTAGAACAAGATTCGACCCTGACCTTGGACAAAGCTATAGACATAGCCAGGACACAGGAAGCCACAAGTACACAGTTGGCAGATATCAGGGGTCCCAGTAACTCAATACATGGCTTAGAACATAAGAATCGTAAGAAACAGCAACAGCAAACCCTAGATAAAAGCAGCATGAAAGTATGTGGGAATTGTGGACGTAGCCATGATCTATCAAGTCGCTCACTCTGTCCTGCATTCAATACAAGATGTAAAAACTGCAACAGGTTACACCACTGGGGAAGGGTTTGTCGTTCAGGGAAGCAACTGACTTTACATGGTAAAAACCATGGAAAGCCCCAACAATATCCAAAGGGAAAACCCCAAAAGCAGGTGAACTCCCTAGAGCAACAACCTGATCATGCAGACCCAGTAGTACCACAACTATATTTTCACTCCATTAGCATTCATAATTTGAATGAGTATAATACGCAAGCCATTGTTGATCTAAATGTCAGTTCAGATCAAGTTACCAAGTCAGTGCCTTGTAAGATAGACACTGGTGCCGAAGGTAATGTGTTACCTCTTGATATGTATAAACAACTTTACCCTAACTCACATTACAATTTGAATGGCAAACCTTCTGGTCTAATACCATCTAATACCAGAATTACTGCATTTGGTGGTCATAAAATTGAACATTATGGCATTTGCAAATTACACCTAACACACAATGGGAACACTACCGAGTACCCCTTCCATGTAGTCAATACTAGTGGCATGACCATCATAGGGCTACCAACTTGTAGAAGCATGAACTTGGTAACCTTGCACTATAGTATTGATCTTGATACAGCCAAACCACCAATGTCAACATCTAATGGTGATCTCAAAGCTAAGAAAGACATACTTTATGAGTATGGTGACGTGTTTAATGGGATTGGATGTTTTAATGGTGAGTTTCACATAACATTAGATCCTTCTGTACCACCGGTTATACACCCACCACGCAGGGTCCCCGAAGCACTCCGTGAACCACTTAAGAAGGAACTTGATTCCTTAGAGTCGCAAGGCATCATTGTGAAGGTATCAGAACCTACCAATTGGGTGAACTCGCTTGTATGTGTGACTAAACCCAACGGGTCACTTAGGCTTTGCTTGGACCCCAAAGATCTAAACTAAACCCAACGGGTCACTTAGGCTTTGCTTGGACCCTAAGGCCATTAAGCGGCCCCACCACTGTACACCAACCATTGACGAAGTGTTTTCGAAGTTGAATGAAGCACAATATTTTTCCATTGTCGACGCCCGCAGCGGCTACTGGAATATTAAACTCGACCAGGAGAGTTCCCTGTACACTACTTTCAACACCCCCCATGGTAGATATTGTTTTTTAAGACTACCGTTTGGACTCATATGTGCGCAGGATATTTTTCAGAGAAAGGTCGATGAAACATTTGGAGACCTCCCTGGCGTAACAGGAATCGCAGACGATATTGTAGTCCATGGTAAAACCCGTCTGGAACATGACACAAATCTCAGAGCTGTCATGGAACGAGCAAAGAATGCTGGCATACGTTTCAACCCCGACAAGTGCATCATAGCCTGCAACCAGCTTCCATTTTTTGGGCACATCCTCACTAACGAAGGCCTGAAGTTGGACCCCAAGAAAGCAGAAGCAATTTCTAACATGGATCCATCTACAAGCCTTGCCGATCTACAAACCTTTCTAGGAATGGTACAGTTCCTCAGCCGTTTCATTCCCAACCTTGCATCTGAGTCCGCAGTCCTCTGGGATCTCACCAAGAAGAGCAGCGAGTTTCAGTGGAACCCGGAGCACCAAGCAGCAGTGAGCAAGATCAAGAAACTGATCACAGACCCAAGCTCTCTTCAGTATTTTGATAGCCGCAAGCCAGTGGTAATTCAGGTCGACGCATCTACCCGTGGCCTGGGAGCAACCCTCCTCCAAGAAAATGGACCGGTTGAATATCGAAGTAAGTTGCTAACCGAGACAGAACAACGTTACTCTAACATTGAAAGAGAAATGCTTGGAATTGTGCATGGGCTTGAAAAGTTCCACTATTACGCCTATGGCAGACACGTAGTTATCGAAACTGACCACAAGCCTCTTGAAACGATATTCAAGAAGAACCTCGCTAGTGCGCCTCCAAGAATTGCTCGAATGATGTTGCGGATACAAAAGTATGACATTGAGATTAAATATGTACCAGGGAAGGACATTCCCTTAGCTGATGCATTGTCACGTTTGAGCCCCTGCGAAGCTGATGAAATAACAGGTTTAGATATTTCAGTCCACGAGCTGCATCTACACCTCAATGCAAGTAACACTAGAATCAAACAGATCCAGGTTGAAACAGCGAATGACTTTGAGCTTACCTCACTTCGATCAGTCATAAGTGTTGGTTGGCCTGACAAGAGATCTGATTGTCCTCCTCACCTTTATCCGTATTGGAACTATCGCGATGAGATGACAGTTGCAGATGGTATGATTCTTAAAGGCACAAGAGTGCTTATTCCTAAAACCCTTCAGTTAGAAGTGTTGGCCCAGTTACACTATGCCCACCAGGGGTCGGAAAAGTGTAAGCTGCGAGCAAAGGGTTCCGTGTTTTGGAACAACATCAACCGAGACATCGACAACATGGTTAGATCATGTGGACCGTGTCAACACAATCAACACATGAATGCGAAGGAGCCTCTTACACCACATGATGTACCACCTAAGCCATGGCACACTCTAGGCAGTGATCTGTTCTTTTGGAACAATTCTTACTATTTACTCGTGTGCGACTACTACAGCAAATTTCCACTTGTGCGAAAGCTCAGCAACATTCAGTCAAGTACTGTCATCGCACATTTGAAATCCATGTTTGAAGAACACGGTATTCCCAGCAAATTAGTGACTGGCAACGATACGCAGTATACAGCCTCCACTTTCCAGGAATTTGCCAACCTATATGGTTTTGAGCATGTCACCACCAGCCCCTATTATTCACAGGCCAATGGTTTCATTGAACGGAACGTACAGACTGTAAAAGGCTTGTTACAAAAATGTAAGGAGTCTGGAGCAGACCCTCATCTCGCAATGTTATGCTTGCGAACTACACCTATTGACCACCACCTAGCATCACCCGCAGAGTTATTAAATTCTAGAGTATACCAGTCAAACCTACCAGCTATTTCTAAGACAACATCGTTCGATCCTGAGAGTAACGTGAAGTTACAAGCTCGGCAAGACCTACAGAAATGGTATTACGACAGGTCTTCAAAAGAACTCCCAACCTTGAAACCGGGATGCAACGTTCGTGTCTTCAACCATCACAGCCATAAATGGGAATCCGGTAGTGTAAAACAACAAACTGAAACACCTAAATCGTATGTTGTTGATATGTCCAATGGCGGCACCCTGGTTCGAAACCGCAGACACCTTCGACCAACTGGAGAATCCGATATTCCAAAATCACCAAATCACCATAGACAAAATCCCACCGCTGATGTGGAGCTGTGTCCATCAACAAGTGTGGCAGACAATTCAACACCCATTGTGCGTTCTCCACCTAAAGATCTGGATGGAAATCCACCAATACAGCTGCGACGTTCTAGCCGTACGATCAAGAAACCGAACAAACTTAACTTGTAATGAGTATAAGACTACAAGTACATTAATAATTATTCCTTTAGTATTTCATAGTATAGTAATTTTGAGCTTATTATAACTATTTCATCTTTGACTAGTGAGACCTAAAAACATTACTTTTGGAACATTAAAGTATATATTTAATTAATAAACATTTAGTTGATATTCTAGAAAGGAAGGGATGTCATGGTATCCCTGTGTATATGCCTTATATGGTAGTGCATGCCTTATATGGTGGTCGTCCGCCATCTTGAAATTCATGAGTTATCTTATAGTTATATGTATTATTTTATAGTTAGTTAGTCAGTAATAAAACGTGATTCAAACTACAACAAACTGCCTTGTAAGTTTAAGTTGAGGGAGGGTTTGAGTTTGTCAATGAGAAGACTTTCTCGAATGAGGAGTTCGTCTGGAGAAGAGCAACAAGAAATAATCTTAAAGTCATTAAGAGAGGCGGAATGACCGGTGCTATCAGGATGGGAAAGGATACTAGACATTCTCGGATAGGAATTTTATACGGACTACCTAAAATCCATAAAGACAATATCCCGCTTAGGCCTATTCTTTCTTGTATAAACCATTATTCCTACAAAATCGCTAAATTTTTTATTCCTCTCCTCAATCCCATTTCTTCGGGTGCTTATATGGTTAAGGATTCTTTCTCGTTTGTCCAGGAATTACTCAGCCTCAATCTCGATTCCAACAACGTTGTCATGGCAAGCTTTGATGTGACTTCCTTATTTACCAACATTCCTCTAGATGAAACCATTCACATAATTTCAAACCGCTTATTCTCTAATGCTGTTCGCTTTCATGGTCTGACTCAAGTAGAATTTAAGAAACTTCTTGGTCTTGCTGTGAAAAACTGCTCCTTTTTGTTTAATGGGGTTCTGTTTCAACAGATTGACTGCGTTGCTATGGGGTCGCCCTTAGGTCCGTTATTCGCTAATATATTCCTGTCTTTTCACGAGTCTAACTGGTTAAATAACTGTCCTGTCAACTTTAAGCCATTATTGTACCGCCGCTATGTTGATGACTGCTTCTTGATTTTCCAGTCTGCTGATCATATATACCTCAATTTCTCTCTTATCTAAATCGCCAACACCCTAATATTAAATTCACCAGTGAAGTTGAATCTAGTTCCACACTTCCCTTTCTTGATATCAGCATTTCTCGTAAGAATGATGTTTTCGAAACTTCCGCCTATCAAAAGCCTACCTTCACAGGTCTGTTTGCCAACTTCCGTAGCTTTATTCCTTTTCAATATAAACGTAGCTTAGTTTCTTCTCATATACATCGTTTCTTTAATCTTTGCTCCAATTATGAGAACTTTTACGCTCAGTTAGAACTATACCGCCAGATTATTAATAAGATTTTTTATCCAACTCGTCTTTTTGATCGCTGCGTACGAACATTTTTAGAAAATGTGTTTCAACCCAAACCAGCTGTTCATTCTGCTCCTAAGAAAGTCCTATATTTCTCCCTTCCATATGCTGGCTCTCACTCTCTTCAAATTGGCACCCAAATCTCCCGTCTTTGTTCCTCAGCCTTTCATCATCTTAATATTAGATTCGTTTTTCGTCCAACTTTACGTTTGTCTCAACTCTTCACCTTTAAGGACAAAATTCCTAAGGCTTTAAGATCTTGTGTTGTGTATTCTTTCACGTGTCGTTGCTGTTCCGCAACGTATTTGGGCCAAACCGTCCGTCACATGCACACACGAGTATCCGAACACTTGGGTGTTTCTCCTCTAGCAGGCAGTAAAAGCAGCAATCCGACCATGTCTAGTATCCTTTCCCATCTTTATAGTACTGGTCACTCCGCCTCTCTTAATGACTTTAAGATTATTTCTTGTTGCTCTTCTCCAGACGAACTCCTCATTCAAGAAAGTCTTCTCATTAACAATCTCAAACCCTCACTCAACTTACACGGCAGTTCGGTCCCTCTACTTCTACTCTGATCCACTCATAGATATCTTATATACACTAGATAGTGCATCTAATTATTCTGCAATTCAAAAATTGAAGCCGTGATTGCAGTCTCAGGTCGTTCCCATGAAATGAGAATATTCGTATGTTTTCTATTTCTTAAACAGAGAACTTAAACATTAAGTTAACCCTATTCCAAATACGTTTTTAAACTATTCAAATGATGAAAGTTGTTGTTGTTTTTAAGCGTTTGTTAGCAAGTGGGAACGACCAACATGGCCGCCATCTATTCAAATGGGGGTAACCGCTGGAATATTCTTGGCTTCAATTTTACTAAAAGAGATGCGCTATCTAGTGTATATAAGATATCTATGGATCCACTCCTCTTTCTACTATTGTAATACAATATCTTGTAAATAGTTGTAATTTATTCATATTTCTGTGTTTTCCGCTTTGTACGTCATTGCTCTGAAGATGTCTTAAGTTAAAGACGAAACGTTAGCTTTCTAATATTTTAAACTAAATTTTTGTTATGGCTCTTTTATACGTATTTTCTGCTGGGCATTAATATTTATCTTAAGAATACGTTGTTTACGTCCAACATACACGCATAAGATTACATAACTCAAAATGATTCGAGCAAAACGGTCACTTGTTAAAAGGAAGACTGGTTAATAGAAATTGGCGCTTTTGAGTGACATAACCGTCTGTCGTTATCGATCCGTGTCGTTGAACAATGAAATTTTCGTCGTGAAATTAGTGAAGATAAAATAGCAGTTTGTAAGAAAACTGCGCGTCTGCGGAGCGGGAACTTTTCGGATTTGAAAAAGCGTGCTTGAAAGTGTTAATTCCCGTAAAAATATTTCAGTTCCGAGACATGAAAGTGAACGATATCGGGACGCAGCAAACGGCCTAATGTACTAAATAATTTTTTTTTCAGTGAGGAAGGTTTAGTAATCAACAGTCGCTAACACTGAAAAAGTGAAACAAATAAATCATACGGTAGTTAAATAGGCAGTTGAGGCTGACAAGTTGTGGTGGTACTATTGTGATATACAGTAGTATACCTATAACATATGATATCAGACTACGCCATTGGACAATACAGAGAGCACAATAACTGAAAATATTCTGTAAAATTAAAATGTATAAGTGTCAAGTATCAGAGACGCCTTAATCCACTGCACCGCAAATAACAGGAGGCTATTACTAAGAGCTATTCATCATGGTTCCAATACGAAATTCACCTTGAACATTATATTAATATTCAAAGTTATTTGATTACATGATTCCAATGATTTAGATAATAATTAATAGTTATAAATTAAATAAACCATCATTGCTGTAGCAACTAAACGTAATAATTATATAAATATTATATGGCCAATATATTATATTACCTGATACCTACACTGTCAATTCACACAAACTATACTAAGATAACCATACGTATATGGCAGGATTGGCAGCATCTGTTATAGAGATTATATTGCCATTGCCATTGATTTTCAACCATTCCAAACATTGCCATTGATTACAAAACCGCCATGCAGGGCACTATACTGGTGGTTTAAATTTAGCACCTTGCTTCGGAAACAAGAGAGAGCATTTGCTGCCTCGTTGACTGTGAAATTGGGCGATGAAGTCACACGTCTAAAGACCTAAACACTCTCAAATGCCTTTCAAAACCACAAGTACAGAAACATCAAATACCACCTCTGGAATGTTGTTGCCATGGTTTTACTGCTGACCTCTATATCATATGTGTACAGGCATAAAATCAACAACTTCAGTTGATATCGACAGGAAGGTTGTGTTGTCCACTATGAACAAGTTGTCAACAATGTTGTTGCAAGTTTTGTTGACAACTTGTTCACGCAGCACACCCTTGGCAGCACACCCTTGTTCACGCCTGTCAATATCACCTGGGAACAAGTTGTTGATTTTCTCAATTTTATGTGTGTGCTGTTGTGCTTTTTATTACAGATTCAGAAACCATTACATATAGAAACCATCACATATAGAAACCATCAATATATCATATAGGATGTAGATATAGCAGGTAAGGACTGTCCAATTTGTCCAAAGTATAAATCCATTACGGCAAATTATATATTAGAATCATGTGCTGCACTTAATGACACGTCTCTTTCAAACTTTATGCTTTCATGCTTAAAGTTTATATACTCTAGTATAGTGATATTTGATGAAGCCATATTTTAGTAATTATTTTGAGGAAGGTTTGAAAACTTTAAATTTTATCCGGAGGAAATTTGAACAAGTTTTGCAACTCTGCTTCCTCGATCTAAATGTGTCTATTGTTGGTTTACAACCACCAAGACCTTGCAGGTACAAGGCAAGAGCTACAGTAAGGTCCCAGTCAAGCCTGGTTTTTAAATATCGCAATTCATCGGCGATGCTCAACTAGCTCCATTGTCAATGATCATTGGTGTATAAAATTCTTTGTGTATAAAATGTATCAACGTTTTCGGTTTCATCTACTCTCCCAATGCTTGTATTCGTGTAAGTACTAGTGCTTCATCACAACTTTCTAATAGGGTCACCGAGAGATAGAGGGGGGATTTCCCCCACCTCAGAAGGGCCCCCCAAAGCGATGACGTCCCTTGGAACGTCAAGGTCAATGCTGATGTGAATTTATCTTGTGGGCTACACTTGTAAAAACATAGAAATAATTGAACAGTCAATCTACTGTACTATATTGTTCTCACTTGTAACACAACTTGAAGGGTATATACAGGGGTCCCAGAAATTTTTTTGAGTTGAGAGTTTTGCAGAAAATGTTTCAGAAAACATTTCAACATTTTGAGATAACTCTGTTTACTTAACTTACAAGTTACAACTATTCTACTTTATTTACACTGTACACGCTAACATCAGCAGCTTTTAAATATTTGACAGAAATTAATTCTTCTACCCACCCCTGCCATCACAATGACTGGTAAAATGGTAAATATAGACAAATAAAAGCGATGGAATAAATAAGATGACAAGACACTTAGTTAAGCGTTGGATCCTTACTATGATGTTTGTGATGTTATTCTGAGTGTCACTGGGCAAGCTGGAAAAATATGCCTGGCCACGGTGGGAATCGAACCTACAACCTTTGGAATACTAGCCCAATGCTCTGCCAGCTGAGCTACGCGGTCAGGTCGGTTCGAGTATGTGATATTTCGGAACTGAGTTTAGTTCCTTCGACATCAATGTAATCTAAAAATCATGATTTTTTGTGTTGTGTACTCAGGTGAATATGTTGTTACTCTGAGTGTGTATCCACACCGAGCAAGCTTGAAAAATATGCCTGGTCATGGTGGGAATCGAACCTATACGACCTTTGGAATACTAGATTACATTGATGTCGAAGGAACTAAACTCAGTTCCGAAATATCACATACGGTACTCGAACTGACCTGACTGCGTAGCTCAGTTGGCAGAACATTGGGCTAGTAATTCAAATGTCATAGGTTTGATTCCCATCATGGCCAGGCATATTTTTCAAGTTTGCCCGGTGTGGATATACACTCAGAGAAACATCACAAACATCATATTCACCTTAGTACATAACACAAACACAGAAAAAATCAAGATCCTTACTAGTTGGTCATAACTCATAACTGTGGTATATAACAGACAACTATTGTGATGTAAAAGCATACGAAAACCAGCCTAAAGCCCATTATTACTAAAGTACAAATGGTACAATAATTATGCATTTGTTTTGTTATTTTTGTAATTGTAACATTACAAATTTTACAGAAAATTTCTAGCCTTCGACCCAGGTTCCCAGAAAGAAAAAAAATTTTTCCACCCCTGGGTATAAATAAAAGCTACTGTTGCTGTTCTCGTAGTTGGTGCTCTTGAGCATAAGTGGGTATTAAGGTAGTAACCTGATAAGTAGTTTCAATACAATGCAGCCTTCTTACCTGCTATAAATTGCTGTTTCTTAAATATCTTTCTTGCAGCTGTATATGATTTTATGCTTCCCACTTTTGTACTAATAAACAGGCATAGATTCCCAAAATAATGTCATTAATATGGACTTTAATAACATCAAATAAACAATTGGGCAGTGCCATCTAGTCACATTTTGACATATGATGAGTAACCATATGACACTCAAGTTTGTTTAGAAAATCAAACTCAGTGTCACACATGAAACAAATATACCCAATACCAGTTGGTTTTATAGATTCTAATTCTCGGCATAAAACACATTGATGTTTTGTATCATTTCCATGTTGCCTTGCAATATGTTGTACTAATTTGGCAAAGTTAATGAATTGTTTCTTGCATCTTCGACAATTATGTTTTCCGGTGACGTCGTCCTTGAAGAAATGTTCCTGTAAGTCTTGAGATTGATTAATTTCTCTATGACAAGATTTGCACAGTAAGTGTGCCTTCTTGTGGCGTTCAAGATGAGTTCGTTGTATAAAAGTCTTTTTGCAAATATTACATTCATGAGGTCTGTCTCCAGTGTGTAGCCTTTTATGTCTTTTTAGGTTGGTTATTTGGGGAAATGTCCTACCGCAAATATCACATACATACGGTTTGTCTAGAGTGTGTGTTATTTTATGTGTTTTTAAGTAACTTAAAAGGGAAAATCTCTTGTTGCAAATATCACATTCAAAAGGTTTGTTTCCAGTGTGTATTCTTATATGAGTTTTTAAGTTGCTTAAATGGGAAAATCTCTTGTTGCAAACATCACATTCATAAGGTTGGCTCCCAGTGTGGGTTCTTTGATGCCTTCCCAAATCACTTGACTGTGAAAATTTCTTCTTGCAAACATCGCATTCAAAAGACTTGTCTCCAGTGTGAATATTTCTTTTATGTCTTTTTAAGTTTCCTAATAGGGAAAATTTCTTCTTGCAAACATCACATTCATAAGGTTTGTCTCCAGTGTGTACTCTTTTATGTGTTTTTAAGGTGACTAATACGGAAAATGTCTTGTAACAAACATCACATTTATAAGGTTTGCTCCCAGTGTGGGTTCTGTTATGTCTTTTCAAATCACTTGACTGAGAAAATCTCTTGTTGCAAACATCACATTCAAAAGGTTTATCTGCAGTATGCGTTATTTTATGCGTTGCTAAGTTACCTTTTTGGGAGAACCTTCTCTTGCAGAGATGACATTCATACGGTTTGTGTATACTTTCGTCTTTTGCCAAGACCAAGCTGCTCGATGTTGAAAACATTTCCTCACAATGATCAGAAAATTCAGTAGTTGTATACGTACAAGTAAATGCAACAAATTATCCTTAAACGCATGAGATTGAAAGTGGACCACGTCGACTAGCAAATCGTAATTCTTATTGTATGTGTTAGCCTTTTCATTCATTTATAATAAATTACAATTAACGAGAAAAGGTAAAATACAATTTGACTCTTATCTTTCACTGTTTGCTTCATTTTGTTAACTTTGCGCTAGAGTATAACGAATTTACGGTAAGTACTTCATGTAAGACCCACAAAACAGTTTGAATAAATAAGACTCTGCAATCCTGCATGGGGAGAGGCGAGAAAGCCCTGGTCTGGACCGGTCACTTGACAACCCAAAATATGGATATATGCAGGGGCGTAGGAACCGCGAGGGGGGGGGGGGCACGAGGGGCACATGTTCCCCCCCCCAATTTTTTCAAAGGACTAAAAGTGCCTTATTTTTTTGTGATGAAAAGTGCCCTTTTTTGTGATGAAAAGTGCCCTTTTTGGACAAGCTAATGTGTCTGTAAATGCAAAATTAACATCAAAGGTGCCCTTTTTGTTTGGAAATTTCCAAGTTTTTTTAAAAAATTGGTCAAAAACCTGCAATTTCGGTATCATGGTACGACGGGAGAGTTGCCCCCCCCCCCATACCTAATTTTAAGAATTTTTTATCGCTGCACATTTTATGCCAAAAATTTCCGAATGACTAAGAAAATTTCCGAATATTCGGAAATTTTTGGCGACCCTCCCCCCCGTCGCCAAAAAAATTTTGGTCAGTGTACCATTTTAAGGGTCAAAAATTTTTTCAGGACATACCAAAAGCCAGATATTAACTAAAAATTGCCTGAATCTCATGATTTTCGTACAAAAAACATATACTATTATTTAATTCGATAATTTGGCAGTCATCATTTCAATTTCAATTAAATCATTCTCTTGTGTTAATTAACAACTTATCAAAGCAAATTTTATCACTGCACATTTTACATTTTATCACTGCACATTTTATTTTTATCACTGCACAAATTGGTTATCACTGCACACTAAAATTAGGTATGCCCCCCCCCCGCCCGTCGCCAACATTTCCGGGAAAAATTTTTAGGTGCGATTTTCAATACCCTAAAGTGCCCCTAGAAGCCGGTGCCCCCCCCTTCCCCCCGCCAATCTTTTGATGCTTCCTACACCCCTGGATATATGTGCTCTCCTGGGAAGTGGCGAGATATTCAGCCACATTCTTAACTGAAATATACAAGTCTTTCGGAAACAAATAAACAGCCAAAACACTTCAAAAACCATACTTTTTTACATTCTGTGGCAGAGCCTCCTCGCCTGCATTTCAATCTTCCCATCACTCCGCGCGCGCTCACTTTTATTCAGGAAACGTCATGTAAGTTATTTATAAATACGTAAGGATGCTCTGCGAAGGATAATATTTTTAGGAGCAAATGAACAATAGAATATATTGATATTGGATTCACTTCAGGAGATTCAAGTACGCCTGAAAAGGAAAGCGGAAAACATGTTTAAACACTCTCGAATTCAAAGGACAAAACGAAGGTTGATATAGAACCGAACTCCAAACGATTATATACGACGCCATATTGATTGCATTAACCAGCAGAGGCTTCCTTTACTTTGCTTTTCCCATCACTCCTTGCGCTCTTACTTTTCCCCTCACTAGAAACTTCATTTAAGCCTCTGCGGAGGAGAGCGGCTATTGCCTTCAATATTTAGTTTCTCGGCTCTTAGATTTAGTTCGATATAAATAAAGCGACAAATATAAAACCTCGCGTAACCTGTTTACGCTGTACAAGAAGTATATGGATTCGCTCGTTTCGACACCAACACTTGGCGTTCAGGAGCAATCCTTGCCTACAAATTCTATCCCCTTCACAATCTTGGCATGTTGTAAAAGACGGACTGGACTGGACCGGGAAAACGCGGACTGAGTCCATGTTTTACAAATCGCGAGCTGCGATTTGTGAAAGGCGGACGTATAAAACATTGTCTATTCTCATGACAAAGTCCAATGTTTTTACCGAGAAAGTTCAATGTTTGTGATGATCATAAATGATCATTTGATGGTTTCAATTGGATCTGGTTGAACGTGATTGGCTGATCAGATCAAAACCTGTCAAGGGCTCTTGACAAACATCGAAGATTCTATAACAAACATACTTGCAGGGAGGTGAGTCCGGGATTGGACGCACCGAGGGTGGCTGGAAGTCTCCCGAACTCAGTCACCGAGCGAAGCGAGGTGGGTTTGGGAAACTTTCAGCCACCTGAGGTGCGTCCAACCCCAGACTCAACGAACCTGCAAGTATGTTTGGTTTTTATCATTACTAAAAAGCACTGTCTACTGAAGAATTTACCCATTTCAGTATATAATTTCTTGTTTGGATATTAAACGAACATTTTAGCCGCCAACCCACTACGCAAACAAACAAACTTAGGCTTAAATTGAAGCTAAAAAATTCTCTACAATATTCCTTTATTATCCTTCCAATATTCCTATATGTCCTAAGGTTGGATGTAAATTACTATTATTTGTTTATTGTTTTGAAGTGATAAATAACAGCGTTCAATCTTAGGGACACACTCAGCCATATGTGGGACTTTGTGCCACTATTGTCGAGGAAACTCATGCGCATATCAAATGTGGCCGTTTCATGTACTAAAATAGCTGTATCCAGTATAGATATATAGCTCTTGTCTTGTAGCAGAACCATTTAGTGGGCATATTAAAATGGTTACTGTAAATTTGCGAGAAATATGAATAAATACTGTAATCGAATATACTTTTAAATTGTGTTAGTAGACGGTGAAACTCTCGCAGGCCATAAACACATCAAAGGTAGTGTTGTGCATATAAATTACAATAAATTTAAATTTCTGAAATTTTATTGTTGTTCGTACGAGGGAATTTCTAAGAATGGTTATTCGATTATAGTATTCATTTCATATTTCTCGCAAATTTATGTAACCATTTTAATATGCCCACTAAATGGTATGAGGGTGGGAAAGGGTATATTTTCGTGAGCCGTGAATGGTCATTATCATTCACTTTTCATTGATTAATTTACCTGCAAATAACTGCGTGCAAATAATGGTCTGAGCATGCGCATTTGTCAAATACGTTGCTCAGCTACAAATAATAGTCTGAGCGTGCCCATTGCCTTCAATTTTTGTAAACAATGGCGGCTCGCTTTGCTGAACTTTCGGAAAATGAGTTGTCTTGCTTACTTGAAGAAAAAAACGCGGAAAATAAAAAAAGCGACTAAAACCGCTGTCAATGTTTTTCGCAAGCATTTAAAAGCAAGATAAAGCAACGAAGACGATCCGTAGTTGGCTCAAAATAAACTCTTGCCAACGTCCTTCGCAAGTTTTATGCAGAAGCAAGAAAGAGAGACGGCGAACTTATATTAAACGAAAGATAAAATCAAACTTTATAACATAGACGGATTTTCTGGGGGGGGGGGTTCAGGGGTTGCCACCCCCTAATACTAGCTATATAACCCCCAAACAAAATGTCCACCCCTCCAAAAACGTTTTTCAACCGCCCCCCCCCCCCAATATTCGACAGCATAATAAATACATAATTAAATACAGGGTGTATCAAAATAAACGCAATTCATCTTTTGTGCTTAATAACTTTCGAAATACTATTTCTAGTTAAACGCTTTTAGGCTTACTTCAAAGCCTGTTCTTTTCTCTTTCGAACAAACTGTTATTCTTGTCTCCAATGCTAGTAATAATTGCACAGGAAAAGATTTAGTAAAACCTATCATTTTTAGTTGCTGTTTAATTATGCAAGTTTACTATGTTATTGTTTAGTCGGTTTAAATGTTAGAATTTTCTTCTTTAAACTTTAATGTTGTCGTCACTACATCTGGAAAACCACGTAAGAACAAATTAAAAAGTATTTTAAAAGATACCAGGTTGTTTGAAAATCCTAAACGAATGCTAAAAATCATAGAATCAAAACATTCTGGTGTCTGAGCCAGAGTGTCATCGAATTGCGATGTAATGTAAACAGAAATTATAGCAAGTTGATGTCAGTCAGCTTAGATGGTCCAAGCCAAAATTATATCGCATTTGAAGTTTCAAACTGAGTTAAAAATAGTGGAAGAAAAGCCGTAATTATACTTATTGTTACAATCAATTTAATAAAATGCAACATTTGTTTGTTTTAATAAAAAAATCAGTTACTTTCATGAGAACGATTTGTTATTCCATCTCAATTTTTTTAATCTCCAATCGCAATAACGTAAAGTATTATTACCCGCGAACCAATGAGTCAAATTTAAGAAACAACCCACTGTTAGAAAGCTGAATGGCTACGCTTTAAAATGAATGTAAACTTTAACGTTTTCATCAATTATTTGTTTAGCAATTTACATTTTAGTTTAGGATTGCGCTTTTTTTGATACACCCTGTAGTTCACTCCAATGTGCAGAGGGTTGATGATACAAAATAAACGTATAGGAGTACACTCGAACAGAAAAAGACAGTGCAACACTCTGAAACTAATCTCTCCTCGCTTGCATTCACTGGTTTATTGGAGCAATTGTAAAGTTTTGAATTATCTTCCCTGAATAGAGTTTGCGGTGCCTTGTCATGCGAATAGCTTGCACGCAAGGAACGTTTGGAATTTTTACGAACACTATTTTTGTTTTTAATTCTTTTAGGAAACAGACTTGCCTAGATTTAATCATTACGCCCCAAATATTATTTACATCGGAATTGCATCATAAATTCTACTCGGATTCAAACAATACAATGTAAATGACTTTATAAAAGTAAAAACATATTATGTATTGGCCTGTTGGGTTTACACTTTTACAGGTTCATTTAACTTTAAGTCTTTAACTCTCTCAAGTCTGCAGACAATCGGACCATTGATATGACAAATTCACAACTTCAAAAAACTTTCTTTCGAAGCTAGAAATCATGATCTTTCCTGAGATACTTTGTTTTCTCTTAAGCTTCAGGAAATGATTACTCCTTTGACCGATCTATTATCCGCAATTACCGCCAAAACTCTCATGACTGAGTCAGTACTGGACTGAGTCCGTGTACCGTCGCTTGCAGGATGAACGGTCGCTCATGAAAACATTCCCTATTCGCGTGAAAATCTTCGATGTTTGTCAAGAGCACTTGACAGCTTTTGATCTGATCAGCCAATCACGTTCAACCAGATCCAAGCTTTGAATCCATCAAATGATCGTTCGTGATCATCACAAACATTGAACTTTCTCGGTAAAAACATTGAACCTTGTCATGAGAATAGGTAATGTTTTATCTGCGACCGTGCATCCTCAACGACGGTATTGAATGAGTCCGCCTTTTACAAATCGCAGTCTGCGATTTGTAAAACACGGACTGAGTCCGCGTTTTACAAATCTCAGTCCGCCATTTGTAAAACACGGGCTCAGTCCGCGTTTCCCCAGTCAAGTCCAGTCCAGTCCGTGTTTTACAAATTCAGTCCGCGATTTGTAAACCACGGACACAGTCCGCGTTTTGCCGCTCCAATCCAGTCCGGTCCAATCCAGTTCGTCTTTTACAACATGCCCACAATCTTTGTTTTATTAGTATCGTATAATCGCAATTTTCAACTAGTATTCGGGGTATTCTGAAACTGTAAAATTCAGTGGGGTGACAAGCGAATCTTGTACAGACTACACAGCCTACATGTAGAGCTACATAAACAGGGCCTAAATTAGGGCATGTTGTAAAAGACGGACTGGACTGGACTGGACCGGACTGGACTGGGAAAAAGGCGGACAGAGTCCATGTTTCTTTTTACCAGTCCTGCCCTTAAGTGGTAACATGAGTGCTCATTTTTTGGGTGCGTTAATGGGGGAGAGACGGAGCGTACTTAATATTCATGTATGTGAGTGTTATGAAAAGAAAAAATAAGAGTTCGCAAGGGTAATGAGACCGTGTGAGGTTGAGCAAGTTTTCAGCAACCCTTCGCAAACAGTGGTGATATGTGTATTTCCTCTTGCGGGCGAATTATTGTATCCTTTATTTAGATTAGATTATTGAATCGTGTGGACCAAATTATTCAACCTTGGGATTTAATTTACGGGTCAATCTTAGGATTATATCTTAGGATTTGGAAAACCTTGAGAGGATAATACAAAGGTAAAATAGCCAGCTGGCCGTCTGAATTTACGCTCATACGCGAAGGTCCACGATCAAAATAGCAGGAAATGGTTTCGATCCATTGACCTCTGGGTTATGGGCCCAGCACGCTTCCACTGCGCCACCCTGCTCCTTGGTAGCAAGTTGTATATGTTCTATGAGTAGACATTTTGGAAGAATGTATCATATATCTCTTAAAATGGTAGTTAATTATGCGATTTTTCCTAATGTCGGTGATACACACCCCCCAGCGATGGCCTTAAAGGAAAAGATTCAATCCCGATGAAATATTTTCGGGAAATGTATAAAATATAAATGTTTGGAGGAAAATGAGTCGCTTAACGCTAAAGAAACGAAAATGATGTCAGACATGAGGTGCTGCTGAGACTTGAACACGGATCATTGGATTCAGGGTCCGAAATGCCAACCATTACAAATTTACAAAACAGAATCATCCGTTCTTGACATTCGTAGTTTCATTAGTAATCTTTTTCTCTCCAGTTTAACGCTTGCGTCTGTTTGAAGGTTTCCGGGCTGTTATTATTAAACAAAAATAATTGTATTTCGTATGGGATTGCGCGGCCGAGTGGTCCAGGGCGCTGGTTTTAGGTAGCAGTCATTTCAATGACGTGGGTTCGAGTTCCACCACAGCTAGAATTCAAGTATCTGCATAAATGTTACGTTTTTTTCAGTTTCTTTTACGTTGGTTGGATCACTTCACTCCACAGTTTTATATTTTCATGTCCACAGAAGATATTTGCTCGGGATTGAATTTTTTCAAACACCCTTTATCCCACAAGAAAAGAAGTCAATGAAATCCTAAGGATCTAGCATTTGCATTGCTCCACATAACACAGAGGTCAACGGATCGAAACCATATCCTGCTCTTGTCCTTATTATTGATTGCACTTTCCATTCTGGCTGTCCGTCGCAAATTTTCCGCAATTAACAGCAAGTTTTAAGAATAATAAGCGCTTTCAGTGTCACGACCTGCACTCCAGCTGGCCCAGTTGGTGTGTGCGTGGTACTTATAAGTAGTGTAGGAGTATATGCGAAGGTGGAGGGTTCGATCCCCTCCGAGAGCAAGTTTTTACCAATCCTGCCCTTAAGTGGTTACATGAGTATCCATTTTTTGGGTGCTATAGGGGAACGGCGGAGCGTAAAAAATAAGAGTTCGCAAGGGTAATGAGGTCGTGTGAGGTTGGGCAAGTTTTCAGCAATCCTTCGCAAACAGTGGTGAATCTGGTGATATGTGTACCTTCTCTTGCGGGCAAATTATTGTGTCCTAGATTAGATTATTGAATCCTATGGACCAAATTATTCATTCTTGGGATTTAACTAACGATTCAATCTTAGGATTCTATATTAGGATTTGGAAAACCTTGGGAGACTAATACAAAGGTTAAATTGCCAGCTGGCCCTGTGAATTTACGCTCTGACTCGAAAGTCCACAATCAAAATAGCAGGAAATGGTTTCGATCCATTGACCTCTGGGTTATGGGCCCAGCACGCTTCCACTGCGCCACCCTGCTCCTTGGTAGCAAGTTGTATATGTTCTATGAGTAGAGATTTTGGAAGAATGTATCATATATCTCTCAAAGATGCGCTACAGTCCGTATGTAAACAAAGGCTTTGTTTACATTTCGGTATCCAAAATATTGAATTTTTTTCGACAACTATTTATATTTTCATGATTCTAGAGTATAATAAATTATCAAGAGACAACAATCAAGCTTTGCAAGAACATAAAATGAAATAAAACCCTAAATAAGCTGTTTGTAAATAAAAAGAGGGCCTCTTTGTGCATGCGCAGATCGGACTGTACCACATCTTTAAAATTGTAGTTAATTATGTGATTTGTCATACTTTAAGGAGTTCGTTGTTTTGAAAAATATTTTTTCTGGATTTGCCGGATATTAATTTTAATTAATGTCGTCCAAATATCTTAGTCATTTCCTCGATCCAATACATGTTTTTGCAATTTGCCGTCAAAATTCCTTCATTTTGCCGGCAAGATATTTTCGAGGGGGCGGGGGTGTGATACCCACCCGCTAGCGATGGCTTTGAAAGGAAATGATTCAATCCCGATGAAATATTTTCGGGAAATGTATAAAATATAAAAGTTTGGAGGAAAATGAGACGCTTAACGCTAAAGAAACGAAAATAATGTCAAACCTGAGGTTCTGCTGAGACTTGAACACGGATCATTGGATTCAGGGTCCGAAATGCCAACCATTACAAATTTACAAAACAGAATCATCTGTTCTTGACATTCGTAGTTTCATTGGTGATCTTTTTCTCTCCAATTTAAGGTTTGCAGTTGTTTGAAGGTTTCCGCGCTGTCATTACTGAACAAAAATAACAGTATTTTGCCTGGGATTGTGTGGCAGAGTTGTCTAGGGCGCTGGTTTTAGGCTGTAATTATTTCAATGACGTGGGTTCGAGTTCCATCACAGCTAGTAGAGTTCAAGTATCGGCATAATATGTCACGTTTTTTCAGTTTCTTTTACGTTGGTCGGCTCACTTCACTCCACAGTTTTATATTTTCATGTTAAGAGAAGATATTTGCTCGAGATTGAATTTTTTTAAAAGCCCTCTATCCCACAAGAGAAAAATTGCTCCACATAACCCAGAGGTCAATGGATCGAAAATATTTGCTGCTCTTATCCTTATTATTGATTTACACTTTCCATTCTGGCAGGCCATCTCTAGTTTTCCGCAACAGCAAGTTTTAAAAATAACAAGCGGTTTCATTGTCACGACCTGCTCTCGTGGCCCAGTTGGTTAGTGCGTCGTACTTATAAGCAGTGCAGGAGTATATGCGAAGGTCGAGGGTTCGATCCCCTCCGGGAGCAAGTTTTTACCAATTCTGCCCATAAGTGGTAACATGAGTACCCATTTTTTGGATGCGATAGGGGAGCGGCGGAGCATAATTAATATTCATGATTGTGAGTGCTATGAAAAGAAAAAAATAAGAGTTCGCTAGGGTAATGAGGTCGTGTAAGGTTGAGCAACTTTTCAGCAATCCTTCGCAAACAGTGGTGATATGTGTACGGTGTACCTTCTCTTGCGGGCGAATTATTGTATCTTAGATTTGATTATTGAATGCTATGGACCAAATTATTTATTCTTGGGATTTAATTAACGATTCAAGCTTAGGATTCAATTAACGATTCAAGCTTAGGATTCAATCTTAGGATTTGGGAAACCTTGAGAGGATAATACAAAGGTAAAATAGCCAGCTGGCCGTCTGTATTTACGCTCATACGCAAAGGTCCACGATCAAAATAGCAGGAAATGGTTTCGATCCATTGACCTCTGGGTTATGGGCCCAGCACGCTTCCACTGCGCCACCCTGCTCCTTGGTAGCACGTTGTATATGTTCTATGAGTAGAAATTGTGGAAGAATGTATCATATATCTCTTAAAATGGTAGTTATTTATGTGAGTTGTCCTAATGTCTATATAATTTACGGAGCTTGTTGTCTTGAAAAATGATATATTTTTCTCCATTTTCCGGTTATTAATTTCCAATCAATGTAATCCAAATATCTTAGTCATTTCCTTTCGATCCAATTCATTTTTTTTCAATTTGCCGACAAAATTCCTTCATTTTGCCGGTAAGATATTTTAGAGGGGGCGGGGGTGTGATACCCACCCCCTAGCGATGGCCTTAAAGGAAAAGATTCAATCCCGATGAAATATTTTCGGAAATTGTATAAAATATAAAGGTTTGGAGGAAAATGAGTCGCTTAATGCTAAAAAAACGAAAATGATGTGAGACATGAGGTTCTGCTGAGACTTGAACACGGATCATTGGATTCAAGGTCCGAAATGCCAACCATTACAGAACAGAATCACCAGTTCTTGACATTCGTAGTTTCATTAGTGATCTTTTTCTCTCCGGTTTAACGTTTGCGGCTATTTGAAGGTTTCCAGGCTGTTATTATTGAACATAAAATAATTGTTTTTCGCATGGGATTGCGTGGCCGAGTGGTCCGGGGCGCTGGTTTTAGGCAGCAATCATTTCAATGACGTGGGTTCGAGTTCCACCACAGCTAGAGTTCAAGTATCGGCATAATATGTCACGTTTTTTCAGTTTCTTTTACGTTGGTTGGCTCACTTCACTCCACAGTTTTATATTTTCATGTCCACAGATGATATTTATTCGGGACTGAATTTTTCTAAACACCCTCTGTCCCACACAAAGGTAAATAGCCAGCTGGCCGTCTGAACTTACGCTCACACGCGAAGGGCCATAATCAAAATAGCAGGAAATGGTTTCGATCCATTGACCTCTGGGTTATGGCCCAGCACGCTTCCATTGCGCCACCCTGCTTCTTGCCAGCAAGTTGTATATGTTTTATGAGTAGATATATATTTTCGAAGAATGTATCATATGTCTCTTAAAATGGTAGTTAATTATGTGATTTGTCCTAATGTCTATATAATTTACGGAGCTTGTTGTCTTGAAAAAAATTTTTTTCTGGATTTTCCGGATATTAATTTTCAATCAATGTCCCCCCAAATATCTTAGTCATTTCCTCTCGATCTAATTCATCTATATGCAATTTGCCGACAAAATTCCTTGATTTTTCCGTCAGGGGGGGGGGGGTGCGATTCCTCGCCCACTAGCCATGTCTCTGAATGGAAAAGTATAAAATACAAAAGTGTGGTGGGAAATATGTCGATTGACGCTAAAGAAACTAAAATGATGTGAGACATGAAGTTCTGATGAGACTTGAACACGGATCATTGGATTCCGGGTCCGATATGCCAACCATTACAGAACAGAATCATCCGTTCTTGACATTCGTAGTTTCATTAGGGGCGGACCATCATAAATCCCGGAAGGGGGGTATAAATTTTTTTCTGCACGATTTTTTTTCTGTATCATATCTCTGCAGGATTTCTTTTTTATACTAAAACTGCCTGTACCAGTGTAGGTAGTACCAATGTAGAAATGCTGTGCTGAGTATAGTGGTTATATTACTACCTTAAAAAATAAGCAGAAACTCGACGTTTCGAGCGAAGACCCTTCGTCAAGAGTTAGTACTACTTCGTCAAGAGTTAGTACTACTAGAGTTACTACTAATTCTTGACGAAGGGCCTTCGCTCGAAACGTCGTGTTTCTTTTTTATGCATTTAACCTCTGCGAGAATTTTTTTGAAGACTATTTGCACTGACGCCAATTTAATACGTTCTTATTATACTCATTTTGAAATCAATTGTGTTTCCTGCAATCTGATTGGTTCACAGGAGTGCGATTTCAGCCAACTTTCGACCAATCACCTTAAAGTGCTGACTTCAACCAACCAATCATATTTAGTCATAGGATTCAAACTGAAACAGCCAATCAATTTTAAAGAAAAAAGTGATATGGCAAATGAGCAAAAACAAAAAATTTACAGATGTCATGAATGATTTAAAGTAGGTTACAGTCCCTTCTCCACATGTGCGGCCTTTGTTTACATTTTTTGTTTTGATCTACATTAATTATATAAGATGAAGTGTATGATGAGTTCAAAACACGTTAATTGCCATTCGACATAATTTTCGACCGAGGAGTGCAATGTTTCACGGCTTCGTTGCATAATTTTCTTCATTGCTTGTACATTTGTACACTGGAAATTCTTGTACACAATAACACAATCTTATACTGTAACTTTTTAATTTAAACATCGTGAATAAAGGGGCCGCTTTGAACCTTGTGTGACTTGCTATATCAACAACTGGGGCGGCGAACCAAAATCCCGAAGGTGTGAGTTCGAATAATTTGTATTTACCTTTGCCTTTGTGTCTAATCATGAAAATAGTTTATGCGATATCACTCCCTCGAAACTAATTGTTGCCAGAGTTGTTGTTGTCATTATAAGAAGCGCTTGGGGAAAGCTTTTCGATTGACGAATTCGAAACAAGTGTGATTAAGAATGTGGCTGCAGTTCCCGTCTTCGTGGCAAATTTAAAGCCAAGGGCAAGGGCGAAATTTTTGACCGTGCAAAAGCTGATTTCGGATGTTGTATAAACAGCAGAAGAGTTCAAGAGATGGACAGTGACGAGACGCTAAGATTATATTCAACTTTTTT